TTCCCCAGGCACCTCACAATCATCCTCACCTTCGTCCTCGGCTTGGTTGATCGGATTTTTGAAGTCATAACTGGCAGTAGCAAAGTCGTTATCACTGGGATCCAGAGTGGATGTGGACCTGTATTATGATATGTGAGTGTGTGTAAGACAAATAGCCATTTTGATAAAGTGCAAGATAGAAAAGAAAAAACAGGGAGCGTAAAATTTGTAATGCAAGAAAACGTCCAATGTTTTATTAATGATATATGAAAATGACAAATAATAAGCCCTAACAAACAAAGCCAAGGTGCCTCGGGTAAGGCATCGGGCCGTAGAGTTTCAAATTATCTGTTACAAATCTCAAAACAAAAGTTTATTACTGTGTAATAAAAGAAACGGGCACGAAGTCCTTCGCCGTCCAATTGTTCAAGCCACCGTTGGTAGTCGGGTAAATCCAGTTGTCGATATCTGACTCTTCTTCATCATCTTCAATTGCATTCACGCCCGAATTACTGATGCGCAGAGGAGGTCTTCCAATTCGCGCACGCCGAACAGCCCTTTGAGCTTCTGCAGTAAAACCCAAACCAAACTTGTCAGTCTTGTGTGCGAAGTCAGGGAGCTGACCCCAATTTGCATCAGACTGTTTTGTGATACGGTGGCAAAACCGGACTGTTTTGAGAAAATGCTGGTTTGCATTTTGAGTTTGTATTCGCAAAATGTCGCGGTAAGTAAGAGTCACCACCGACTTTTATTTTATCCAACTGGAAAGGAAAAAAGCACAGAAAAATTCCTTTTTCGAGATTTTGAGTACGGGGCGTAGATTATAGAAAGGGAAGGTATTAGCACCCTTTCTATCCATGGTTTTCCATGGGCTCTTAGGTACTTGCTCATCATTTTAAAATTGCTTCTGTATTTGTGTGATTTGAAATTTTTTTGTTTTACTTCGATTTAACCCTTGCTTCTGTCTTCAAGAGTGTTACGAAGTCGTTTTGAAAACTTTGTTTGAAAAGAGTGTAAGTATGGAAAAGTTTGTTTGTTTTGAGCAAGTACCTACTAGCATCTACCTACTCGAAAAAAGAATTGTTCTATGTTTGTTTCCTTTAGACATCACTATCCTACTATTAGTGAGTGGGTAGCACCGTCGTTGGAGTTTTAAGGGTCAATTCGAAAGGGACGTACGATCACTAAAGCAATGTTAGGACGTCTTAGTAATAACCCTAATGTCTTAAGATCAATATTTGAGGCAACAATTCCGAGGCAACCTTTCCGAGGTAACTTTGATCTTTGAGACAAAAGAGCGACCGCTAAAATACCCTATACTTAATGATCGTTTACTGAAGGCAACCGAAGTGGGAGTATACCCTAGGAGTGCGCATGTGCGAGTGATTCAATTTCAAGTTATTATCTTTGCACATTTAGGGTTTGCTAACCGTTTTAAATTTAACATACATTCTTGTCATGCAACCCTAATACCATACATCTAACGGTTTAATATTTGCAAGAATTTAAAGTGCGGAAAGTAAAGCTACGCTATTACAAGGCTTCAGGTATTAATTACATAGCCAAAAACAACCCGTAAAAAAAACGATAAACGAACGAAAAAGTCCTAATTAATCTATTACATCCCATGAGCAATTACATCAATATTGTAAAAAATAAATAAATGCGCGATGAATAGAGAACGAAGGGAAATTAGGGTTTTGACCCCGTCTAACCTAATTAAAAGAAAAAATTATTTTTGTTGTTTTTGATTATTTTGTAGAAAAAGAATAAGGTTTTTAAAATTAAATACAAATCTAATTAGTAATTAAATTAATTTAAAGAAAATAATTTACATGACCTATTTTTGTATTTTTGGTTATTTTTAAGAAAAAGAAAATAGAATTTAAATTAAACAAAACCTTAATTTCTAACTTGTTTTAATTTATTTACAAAATAATTAAAGTTACCCTAAAATTAAATAAACTAATTAAATTAATTTTTGTATAAAAAATAAATTCTAAATCTAATTGGATGAAAATTGATTTTATGGTTTTTTATGAAAAAAGAATTAATTTGGTGTTAGTAAAAATAAATTAAATGAATTAATTAAGAAAATATAAAGAATAGAGAAAAGGAATAATGGGCCTGAGAATCAGCAAATTGGAGGGGTGTGAATAACAAGCTCTTAGGCCCAAAAATCTGACCCATGTTAACTTCATGGATTCCATGTTGTGCATTGATTGGGGTGTATCATGGTCCTCCAAACAATGGCCTTCGGATCTGGCCTTATGGAAATCCAAAGGTTGAATCTTGAGGGTACATGGTGATCTCCCTGCCTTATGTGCATGCCTGATCATCTGAATGAAAATAATATGAAATAATGGGGGGACCTGGGATTCGAACCCAGGCCCCAAAGCCTTTTCCACTCCCCTTCACGCCAACTGAGCTGGGTGCATTTGTTGTATACAAAGGACCAAATAAACATTATAAAAAAAACACAACTTTGCTAAATTCCTGCGCGCGAAATTTCAAACGGAGCAATCATAGGCTACTACACTATCGTCCCTGTCCTCTCTCCGTTGGTAAAAGTCAGAGACTTTTACCTACGGACAAATGTCCATAGCTTGAAACCCTGCATATCTCAAAATCACGCACATGCATAAAAAAATGAAAACGAATGCCATGAATCGAATCGCCTTGGCCTACTGAACATCATAATGTCCTTCTTGTGGACCAATTTCACCTATACACAAAGACCCTAAAATGAGACCAAGAACCCTAATAATGGCAAATCTTTATAGAGTTAGAAAAAATGCAATTAATTGTTATGAACAACTTGCAAATGCTTCAAGGAACAAGAATATGTATGTAATTCATGCTATAAGTGCAAAAATCATGTGATTCGATTTCAAGAAAAAGCCATGGTCGTGGATCACTTACAGTGAGTTCTAGCGCTGGAAAATGCTTGTTCTTGATTGGTATAGGTTCCTTGCAATCCCAGGAAGCGAATGAGATGGCTAGGGGATCTTGAAAACGACTGGAAGTACAAAATCAAATAACCACTTTCTTTGAATTTTTCCAAGTTTGGTTCTGCCTTTGTGTGCCTCCAAACCCTGTTCTTTTTGGCTGCAATTGTTCACTATATACCAAGGGATGAATTAGGTTTAAAAATATGATCTCAATCTTTGCCAATTATGATTTTTGATCTTGATTTGATTCACTTGAAAATCTTTCCAAAATAGGCCAAAATCAATATTTTTGTGCCCACCTATGCCTTGCACGAATTGATTCACTTGCTAGCTGGATATAGGACCTGAAATGCGCACATGATCTTGAGGTTTCAATGATTTGGATTTTTTCATGATTTTTTTTATTTAAATGATTTAATTAAAATAAAAAATCAAAGTAAATAGAAAAAATAAGATAAAGACAAATGGGAATATCTAGGGCTCGTGGACCATGCTACCAACTCAAAAGAAGTGCAAAAAGTTAGGCCCATTTAGCAAAAATTGCAATTTTGAGGCATTTTTTACTTTTGGCAATTTTGCAAAAAGGGTCAACTTCACCAATGCATAACTTCTTCAATTTTGACTCTTTGAGGGTGTTATTGGACTTTTTAGAAATATTGAGATGTCCTCTAAGCAACCATTTTGGTCTCATCTCAATTGAGTCTTCCATGTTCATGTATGAAGCTTTGACAAAAAAAGGTGTTTTTGTTGACTTTTCAAAATGACCTATAATGTCCAAATTAATAACTTCTTGTGAGTGCATATTTTTAACTTGGGAGATGAATATGGATTGTAGAGCATTGCATCATCTTCAAAATGAGCTTTGGATGGGTCATTTCTCATAAAGTATGAGAAAGTTATGCTTGGTCAAAGTTGAGTTGACTTTTCCTACAAAACCCTAATTTAGCAACTTTTGGGTTTTGATGAGTTGTGAGCAATACTTGATGAATCATAATCAAACATTAATCAAATGATGAATAATACTTCAAAATGAGAATGTTGACCAAAAATCTTGAAGTTTGACTGTATGTGGGCCACAGTTGACTTTTGCCCTAGCATAGTCGATTTTCAAGCTATTGAGCAATTGACTGAGCAAACTTCCTCTGCAAGGCTTGAAACTTGACATGGATGACATTGAGAACATATTAGGACAATGGTGAGAATTTGGGATCCCTTGGACTCAAGTATCTTGATGTAACATGAAACCCTAATTTGAGGTAGACTGCCTTAGGAGAGAGTTTGTCTGGTCAACCCTTGGACTTCGTTGAGCAAATTTGAGGACCTCACTTGAAAATGTATTGAGAAATATGGGAGGGCAAATTTTGGGGTGCAAAAGATGGTAAATATGGATACTTATGGGTCATCTTCCCCGTACTTTTATATCCATCTTCCCATTATTATGATCTAAGGGTTCTGATTCCCTTTACTTCTTTCGAAGCAGAGTTTTTAACTGTTGCTAATATCAATCCCTCCCAAGTTACTCTAAATACATGGGGTATACTTAATACCTTTTAGATAGTTTGTTGTAGTTTGGACATATCTCCCTTTGTTAGAGTGTTTTCTACTTATTTAGGAAGAAATTCCTTCCTACCAATGGCTGGGTGGCCTTGCACCCCTTTTCATGGGAATTGTCTGCAAAAACAATTTGTCGATCCTTATAAGGATTGTAAAGACAAGTTTTAAAAGATAATGGGTCGGGATAACATCGCTCCCGTTGTAGTAGGGGCGAAGAGCGAACCCATTTTCCCCATGTCTTGTTCTTCAGATCTATGGCTTACGATGAGGGGTGAACCCACACGTCTTTTCTCCCCTCGACCGAGAAATGGTTAAGGTTTCAGAGTGCTTATGCCCCTAGATTTTAGCATCCTTATCAACCGAGATAGCGAAGACGACATGGGAGTGGAAGAATATTTAGGTATGGAAAAATATTTCCTAGCCTGACACTGCATGTCGTTGTATTTTAATGATGTTTGTTACATGTAGGTGAGATGATGGGTCCCTGTTGACAAGAAAAAAGAGTGATCGGTAAAGATGCATGTGGCTCATCAGTGGGTGATGTGTTCCTTAGCTCGAGACATGGTATGTGCCCGGGTAGTGGAACTAGGTGAGACTTCTAGAGCAATTGAGTTTCTTCCTCCCAAGGTTCCTAGGATAGAATAGGATCCTTCTAGGCCGACAAGAAACCATGAGGCGACGCCGAATGTGGAGAGAAAATCAGATGATTTGCCCCCCCTAAGCCCTCCTTATGGAACAACCAAACTTTCAATATAGTGGAGTTCACTGACCACTTTTTTTTTGGTTCCCGAGATCTTTCCTGACAATTATCAAATGCTTTATGATATGTCTCTTTCCTAGTTGTCCAATCTAATGGAGACTTAATTCCTGAAGTGCTTATTAATGGAAATAGCACAGAGGGAGAAATATTTCTGCACCCTCGGGGGGCTCTGGTTTGGGGATGTCAATGTGAGAAAACGCACTCGCGAAGGAGAGGCAATGATAAAATAACTAAAGGAGAGGCGAGATGCACTGAAGGCACTTGCTGAGGGGGCAGCCACTCAGGTATGTACTCAACTTGCAGAAGTGAAGGCTTTGAAGCAATCGCTTGGGAAGACTCGTGATGTCTATAAGGGTTTGGAGGAGTGGACGTCCCTGCTTATGGACGAAGCCGTGGCGACCTCTGTCTATCGTTTTGAGGAAGTGAAAAGGCAATTTGTCCTCCTTTATCCTCATATGGACTTGAGCTACATGGATCCTTTCTAGGTGGTTCGAGATGAATGACTAATGGATGAAGAATGATTCTTATCCCCGCCTTTTTTTGGTTGTATTTCTTTTGCCCATTCGAAGATTTTTTAATTGTATTCTTACGCCCCTTTAAAAAATTTTGTAATCGTTATGAACGACGACGTTCCTTTAAGAAAGCCTTTATATTAACTGCTTTTATCGCTATCGACTTTAACCTTTGTCTAAAGGCGTTTTCCATCATGATTGTCATGCAATAATACATTTTTATTTGATTTTAATTAATATACATTTTTCATTAAATTTTTTTATACTATCAATACATTATAATTATTTAAATAATTTATATTAAAAAAATTAAAATAAAAATCAAATATTTCAAATAAATTAGTAGTTTTAATTGACTTTTACATTGTAAAATATTTATATGGATGGGTATCTAACTAAATTCATTTTATTTTCCAAATCAATTTTCAATCTAATGTATTGTCGGATTGGACATGAAAACTCTTGATTCAAGGTAAAAAATTTGGTCTAATTGGGGGACAAAATACAGATTTACCTAATCTACAATAAATAATGAAAATTAATTAAACAAAAATTTGGTCTAATTGGGGGACAAAATACAGATTTACCTAATCTACAATAAATAATGAAAATTAATTAAACAAACAAATAAATAAGACTCTCAAAACTTGAAAAGCGTTAACAGTGTTCCATTCCTTGAAGAAATTCATTGAACGCGTGCAACCCTAGTTAGGGTTTTCTTCTCAAACTTCGATTCTCAATTCAAAAAGGGTTCGTTCTCTCAATCGCACCGCTGGATCCGTATCGTTTTCCTCCGTCGGTCGAGTCCCCTTTTTCCCGATCCTTCAGCGATCGTGGAAACATGTACGGGCCGAGGGGGTAAGTCGCCTAAACTTCATCTTTTTCTTAATTTTTTCGTTCTTGCTTTTGGGGTTTGATTTATGTGGATTAGGAATCGTATTCGTGATTGGGAATTGAAATTGGAGCTTTTTAAGAATTTTTGGATTGTGATTGAATGCGTTTTTTTTTTTGTAATTCATGTCTAGTTTATGAATTAACTTTGAGATTTGATTCATTGATGCATATGATATATAAGGGTTTTACTCTTTTTATTTGTTTTATTTAATGTTTTCTACCAATGAACATTGCTGTGAAAATGTGGAAAATCTGTAGGCATACTCAGCTTGTTTGGTTTTCTTTCAACCATGTGATTATGTTCTCTGTCCTGTCAGTGTTAGTGTTATGTCCGACTAATGGTTTGTGTCTTGGATGTTGACTGATCAAATGTTTTTCTGAGAAAATTGTATTGATTTGGTGGTTGTTGTCTTTTTAATTTGTTTTAAAATTGTTGTTTTGGGTTTGAAGTTGTGATGAATATGATAAAATTTATAACATTAGAAATTGAAATTAAGTATCAGGAAAACATGGGTTGGGTTTGGTTTTTATTAACATGTTGAGTGGGGGATTTTTTTTTGGGTATGGAAATTTGAAGGGCAATGTTGGGAAGCGGGGGGGTTTCGGACGGGTACGAGGTTGGCTCAAAGAGACAAAGAATGATGGAATCCAATCCATACTTCGCAGTGAGCAGTGGAGCAGGCAGCTTTCAACCTTATGGATATGCTGGTGGCTTTCAGCCTCTTCCTCCTTTTCCTGTGGTTCGTCTCAGGGGGCTTCCGTTTAACTGCACAGACATTGACATTTTGAAGTTCTTTGCTGGACTGACTATAGTCGATGTGTTGCTGGTCAACAAGAATGGACGATTCTCTGGGGAGGCCTTCGTAGTCTTTGCAGGAGCAATGCAGGTTGAGTTTGCTTTACAGAGGGATCGACAGAACATGGGTCGCAGATATGTGGAAGTTTTCAGGTGTAAGAAGCAAGATTATTACAATGCTGTTGCTGGTGAGATCAGTTACGAAGGAATATACGACAATGATTATCAAGGAAGCCCTCCTCCTTCCAGGGTCAAGAGGTTCAGTGATAAAGATCAAATGGAATACACTGAGATATTAAAGATGCGTGGACTTCCATTCAATGTGACTAAATCTCAAATTATTGAGTTTTTTAAAGATTACAAACTGATAGAAGATAGGGTGCACATTGCATGTCGCCCAGATGGTAAAGCTACTGGAGAGGCATATGTAGAGTTTGTTTCGCCAGACGAGGCTAAGAAAGCAATGTTCAAGGATAAAATGACCATTGGATCTAGGTATGTGGAACTGTTTCCTTCTACACCAGATGAAGCTAGACGGGCAGAGTCAAGATCAAGGCAGTAATCAAAGATGTTTTGTCAGGCATTGTGCATTTTGTTTTAGATGGTCAACCTTTTTATTCTGCAGTATTCTACTTCGATATTCTAAGTTTTAGATCAATGTACTTTACTATTTACTAGTTTGACTTGGTGGTGGTTATCTTTTAATGTCTGAAATGGATGCATGAATTGACTATTTATGGAAAAGGGCCTTCGAATATGTGGCTTGGTAAGGTTTAGGGATTTATCCATCAAAGTTGTTTTCTGTCATAGTAGGCTTTTTCTACACTTCAATTTTAATTTGTTTGGATGAATAATTTCGCAGGAGTATAGTGTGTACATTTACAGGCTATCCAATCCTACACTTTCAAGTTAAAGAAAGTATTACTAAAATTAAAATCAAAACTTGGGTTGATGATATTTTAATTTAATATTCTCCTCATAAAAAATAGTGCGTGGTTTTTTTTAATAACAATAATTTATGTTAATAATTAAATAAATTTTATTTATTAAAATGTTCTTATAAATTATAGTTATTGGATAAGTTTGAGGGACTGAGATTCAATAAATGAAAAAAATGGAAAAGAAAGTGAGATATTTTTATGAGATGGAAATAGTATATTGAGTTTTTAATTTGGAGGTAACATTCATCTTCCCATTGAATGTTGGATCAAGTAAATATTGATGGTGCAACTAAAGGCTATTATGACACCATCTTGTGAGGAAATTTTTAGAAACATAAAAGTAGGATTTAAAGGTAGTTTTGTTATTGATCTTGGTAACTACTGCTACTTTCTTTCATGTTATATAAATCGGAGGCATTAAATCTAATAGAATTTTTTTGATGGACCTTAGATTTATATTACAATTTGTTATTTATAGTCTAATACTTACGATACTTCTGATGATCAATGTATATTAATCATTTCAAATTTGTAAGTAATCATTTCAAATTTGTAAGTAAATTGGTTGAATAGTTTATCGATAAATTATTTGTTATCAATCTAATATTGTTTCCTTGAAATATCGATCGATTTCAATTTATTTTATCCTGCCATATTGAACAAGATTATATTCGATATTGATGATTGATTTATCATCGAAAAACAACTTTATAGACTCTTCTCACTGAATCTTTAAGTCTTTTAACACTTGTTTTATCTATAATAATTCACAAATTTTGTGTTATATTTCTAAATTTTACTTCGCTTAATCGAGCAATTATACTTTGTTTATTCTCCACACAACTAGGTTCTCGTAGAAGAAGGTACAATAGCATGAATTATATCTTCTTACTTAATGAACTTGCATAATCATCTGTGGAGTAAACTTTCAATAGTTCAACTTTCATCTCTTTAAACAAGCATCATCTCCTTGGAGTGACTTTGAGATATTATTGGACACGTTCTACAACTTACAAGTGTCTCACGTTCTACAACTTACAAGTGTCTCTCCTTTAGATTGTGCATAAATTGGCTGATCACACTAACTATATATGCTAAATCTGGCATAATATGCGTCAAGTAAATCGATTTTTCCACTAATTTTTTATATTGATTCTTGTCAACTTTAGTACTTTCCTCCTAACGCCTTATCCTATGATTTTGTTAAATGGGTGTACTTACTGATTTGCATCCAAGTTTCCAGTAAAAGATTAACACATATTTTTCCTAAGAGATAAAAATGTATTGTTTTGAATAGGATATTTCAATAATCAAGAAATACTTGAGTTGTCCAAGGTCTTTCATCTCAAATTTTTCTAATAACATTTCTTTGAGTAGTTGCCTCTCAATCAAATCATCACCTATAACAATAATATCATCAACATAAATAATAATTACATTTAGTTTTCCTCATTGCGAATGTTTAAAGACCAAATTGTGGTTTCCTTGTCTTTTCTTATAGCCCAAGCATGCTATGACATTTGTGAATCTTTTAATCTAAAGTTGGTGTAATTGCTCTAATTTATATAAGGTCTTCTTCAATCGACAAATATTTTTGGTTTCACTTGTAATATCAAAACCATGTGAAATCTCCATATATACCTCCTCCTCTATGTTTGCATGCAAAAAAATTTTTTTTACATCAAATTAATGGAGTTCTCAACTAAACTGAGCAACAAGAGATAACAATATCCAAACAATATTCATCTTTGTAATTGAAGAAAAAGTCTTATCATAATTAATGTCACGTGTGTGAGTATCCTTTTGCCATTAGTCTGACCTTATAAAGATCAAGGGAGCTATCGTCCTTGTATTTTCTTTCGAACAATTTTTCAAGTCTCATTCTTTTAAAGTGCCTTCATTTCTTTCATCCATTTGAGTCCAATTCTTTTCCAATGTCTTTTGGACATATTGTGGAATTCTCATTGTGTCAACAACTGTGATTAAACTAATATTATGGAGAAAGTTGTTTAAAGGAGACAAATTTAAAAATAAGATATTTATATATAGAAGGACACAATCTTTTATTCTTTATCAAAGTAATAACTAAACCGTCTAAGTCAGTATCACAAGTATCAGAAATATAAGAATAACCAATAGTAGAATCTTTTTTAGTATTTATCCCTAATTCAGCTAATTGAATTTGTTCCTAAAGATATTAGGTTTACTTCTCCTCTAATACACTAGAGTTGGTGCTGAAAGTATTGGTTCTTGCAAACAGAAGATATTGGAGGATGAATAGTTATATACTTAGGTTAATTTTAACCATTGGATAACTAGGAGCACTTATTATTGGTGTAAGCTTTAAAGGTCAATAATTTTATTAGAACTTAGTACTTGTATTGAATTATCTATTAACAATAAGTTATTTCTTTGTTATGTTTGCTTTTTAAAAATAATAACGTCCCTAGAATAGCTATTCTATTTAATAAAATATTAATTTTCACTTAATTATGAGATCCCATTAAAGATAAGGACATTATTTTTAAAGTATACATAGTCAAGCTTCATTGTGAAGTGAAATAAATTAAGGTATTACGACTATTATGTTGATAGATCGGTGATCACATCTTATGGATCATGGATAAACAATTATCAAGTCTTCATATATGTATGAATATTATGAGTAATATTTACACTAGATTGACCCACTATGAGAATAGTACGTAAAATATTATGCAAGTATCCTGAGTTATTCTCAAGGTGACAGTGGTGTACACAATTATGGTGTATACCACCCTTAGACCTGAAACCAATATGAATCTTAGACGTGGAGTCGAATAATTTATTGTCTATAAAAAATTGTTTGTAACAAGGTGACCATAAAGATGGTTGATGAGTACTACAAGTCATGCTAAGGACATGAGTGGCCTAGATGAAATTTTCCCATCATACACAACATGATATATGTATAAGGATCCAATATTGAATTGAACAACAGTAATATGTCTTGTTTTCAATATATACATGAGGGAAAAATGGAAACTATACACATAAACATTATCACATAATTTTTTTATATCACATGACTTTTTTGTGACTTAAGTAGCAATGACGTGTTGTTAGATGCCACTCACTGTTTATTATATTAAATATATGATTGATATAATTTCTAATGTGACGAGAACCTATAGGGTCACATACATAATGACAAGTCAATGAGCGATAAAATAAATAAGTTAAGCTTAATCGATTATGCATTATTGTGAAGCACTAGCGTTAATTAGAGAAACGTGGTACACCGTAAGATATTGGGGTACTTAGGCGAATTACATAGCACTTTAAGGTATAATGAGATTAAGTTAACTTTGGAACATCGTAAGCTACAATGAGCTTAAGTAGAATATGGAATACCATAAGGTATGGTGCACTTCAGTGGAATGTGAAACACAACAAGGTACGATGGCACTTAAGTGGATTTGTTTAGCTTGCAGCTGTTGTACCCCAAAATTTTCTCTCTCTTTTCTCAAGATATTTTCTCACAAGGATTTTCAAAAGTCCAATTTTGCACAAATACAATTGAATTTTTGATTCCCCATATAGTTTCCATGGATCACATTGGGCTTTCAGGCATCAAATCAAAGAAAAAGCAAACTTGCTTCGATTTCCTAAGTTTCCACCGGACTTTGGTCTCCTTCTAGTTTGCTTCGATTTCCCAAGTATCGATTGGACTTTTGCCTCCTTCAACTTGCCTTTGATCCATAAGGAAAAGACTTCCTCTGTGCTTGCCTTCGATCCACAAGGAAAAGGATTCTTTTGTGCTTGCCTTTGATCCACAAGGCAAAGGCTCCCTCTGTGCTTGCCTTTGATCTACAAGGCAAAGACTTCCTCTGTGCTTACCTTCGATTCACAAGGCAAAGACTTCCTCTGTATTTTCCTTTGATCCACAAGGAAAAGACTTCCTCTTCATGCTTGCTTTCGATTCACAAGGCAAGTATTTACTTCATGCCCGCCTTCGATTCACAAGGCAAGTACATCCTTCAGGCTTGCTTTCGATTCATAAGGAAAGTACATCCTTTAGGCTTGCCTTCAATCCACGAGGAAATACTTCCTTTATGCATGCCTTCAATTCACAAGGCAAGTACATCCTTCAGGCTTGCTTTCGATTCACAAGGCAAGTACATTCTTCAGGCTTGCTTTTGATTCACAAGGCAAATACATCCTTTGGGCTTGCCTTTGATTCACAAGGAAAGAACTTCTTTCATGCGTGCTTCGATTCACAAAGCAGTGGCTTCCCTCATGCTAGCTTTGGCTCCACCTCTAAACCCTTCAACACACAGTTTCTACACTAAGACACACAATATGGTCCATTCAAAGAAACATTCAAAAGGTCCATTCGAAGAGCATGAATTTGGTGGATTTGAAGGATATACATTGGTGGCCTATTCGAAGAATACACAAGCGGTGCCTTCTAAGGACACACAATTGGTCCACTCGAAGGACACACAATTGTTGGAAACAAGTTTTGTTTTGTCTTTTGATGAGTCTGGTTTAAGATGCTTGCTGGCCAAAGTCCTACATGCTGCCAAGTCCAAGCCTCCGGCACAATTACATTCGAAGGAAATAATAAAAGAAGCTTCGA